GCCTTTATTTTTCTTTTGCAGTGAGGTACCCCAGCACGCACAGTGATGGTAACCTGCCCATCGCTGTGTGGGCAGCAGGAAACCATGGTGAGCACAAGCTGATGCTCTTTGTTATTATTAAAAAGTGAATTAGATAATGTACTCAGGTAACTTGCTTTTAGTCATTCGTTCAATAAATATTTATTGAGCACATTCTATATCCTGAGCCCTGCTGATGTGGCTCACAACACAGAAAATGCTCCTGATTTCCTGAAGTTTACATTCCAGAAACGAAGCAGAAATAGACAAATAAATAAGTCCATAATACAATGAAGGGAGAGGATGAGCCGTCCAGCTCTGCAGATGAAGAGGACTCCAGAAGGAGGCGAGGAGAGGGAAGGCCCTGAGCTGGGAGCACACTCGGCAAGTCCAGGGATCAGCAGGGAGTCCGTGTGGCTGGAGCCATGACAGGGAGAGTGGGTGACAGGAAGTCAGTGCGCAGACAAGGGCAGCTGGTGTGGCTTTGAGCCTCATTGTGATTGTGACGGGAACCCATTAGAGGGTTCGCAGTCCGGGAGTGATGTAATCTTTTACTGCACAAAGAGTTGCTTATGAACGATTCTTCTCAGAAAGCTCCACAGGGGATCGGTTGAGAAGCAGTGATTCTCAAGAATCTTGAAATTTCTGGCTGACGCTTCTTACCAGTCAGGCCCCGTGCTGGTAGCTAGAAGTCCTGGGACGTGTTCCCAGATGTGCACATTCCTTCCTGAGGGGCCTTGGCGCGGCCGATGTTTCTGGCTCAACGACACCTCTTCACTCTCCCGTATTCAAGAGGAGAGAGAGCAGAGCACTTAGGGGAATTCTCTGGCTCTCTGAAGTCTCGAGTTAGGAACACAGTATAAATAAATTAGTGTGCAGAATGAGTTTGAGTCCATTCCACAACTGAAAAATCAGTAAGTCCTCCTTTGGAATATTTTCTGAAGGTTTAATGATTAGTGTAGGCAAAATCAGAGGCCAGCATGACTCTGTGAAAAGCATACCATCCCACGGCTTTGTTTTACCCGTAGGCGCCTGAGTGACCCCATGAGCAACATTTAGAATGTTTCCAACTTCCTCACACGGTTGACCTATGGATGAAGCATTCAGCCAGCCTGTTAATAAGTAGAGAATTACTGGGAAGGGCAGGGAAGGACGCTTAATGCCTGAGAATAAACGAAGAAAGAAACCAGAAGAGAATTCTGGGAGAGATGGGGTATTCCATGCCCCAGGTCTGGAAAGATTGTGTTTGGATTTCATATTCTTAAAGACGTGTACTTTCATTTGATATGGGCTGAAATTAGGGTGACCCATTCACATGAGATGAGAGGGAGGAAAATGCAGCCAGGCCCTCTTGTTTTGGGAATGGCAGTTTCCACGTTAGGCCACACATTTCCTGGGATATCTCAGTGCCTTTTGTGCTCATATTCAGACAGAATCAGCTCTTCCAAGTGCTCAAGGAAAATCTAAATAGGACTGTCTGTGGTTTTAAAAGATTCAAACCAGGGTCTGAGTTCTTCTCTGCCTGAGTTTATTTGGGGTACGTTTAGTTGCTTCTTATAAAGGTGCGAAATGGAAGTTTGGGTGACTTTCTGTCATTTTACTTTCCCGGGGAACCAGAATAGCCATTTGATATGTTCCCACTGCACCAGGTTGAGCAAACTCTGATGACTCAGAGCTGGCCCCTGTGGGGTCCCGCTCAGCATCGTGAGTAAGGTGTCTGCTGATTTCTGACCGCTTACGGGTAAGCCTGTGCTGAGTTCAGTGTACCCCTCTGTTGGCCACTTCTGTCTGAGGGGCCGGAGTCTGATGCGAGGCTGAGCGTCCCCACCCTGTTCTCTCTCCTTCCTCTGTCGGTGGCCCCCACTCACTCCCCTGCCTCTTATCACTGTTACCTCAGAAGCTAATCGTGCTGTCAGCTAATGTGTGTGTTGGGAGCTGACCAAACAAGGGACCCATTCAGAGAGAGCTCACGGAAAGGCAGGCTGGCATTTAAACTTGAAAAGCAAACAACCCAGGCAAATATTTGGCACAAAAATGGAGTATCCAGTGGTCTTGGGCGGGCGGCTACAACGGTCTGTTCTGTGGGCTTCATCTCCAGCTGAGCATCGTAGTCCGTATATGGACGCACAGCCTGACAGGGAGAGTAGAAAATAGGACTGACTTCTGAGAAATCAACCAGTAACATCCATAGGAATGGACCAATCGTGTTGAAGTGAGGGATTTCAGCAACATCTAAAATGCAGTGTGATCTTGGAACCAGGACTGAATAGTCATTGCAGCCTAGTGAGCGGACACTCAGTCAGTTATCACGCTCCTGGTCCGGCACAGGCTATCACAGGGGTGTGGACGGCGAGGAGACGAGGAGGCCACCTGGAGGAGAAGGGCGCTCGGGCTGTGTCACAGCCACATTCCAGGGCGGACGCTATCCCCCCTGAGTGTCGCTTCCAGGGCTTGGCTGTTGGATCCCCAGGGCGGTTCTAGGCTTCTTGGTCCGTCAGATCCTGGCAGTGCATCCAGTTACTGAGTTCACCCCAAGCAAGCATTTGTGCGCTCCAGCCTCTGTGCTGCTTTCCTAGACGGAGGGGGCTTTCTGATCGGCCACCGTCTGATGTCACATGGCTCGATGGGTGCCTTTCTCATGAGAAACTAAGACCTTGACGTCCTGGCTCCTGTGAGGTCCTCCCAGGTGAGCCCGTCCTAAGACGCAGGTCACTTCAGGACAGGAGGGCAAAGCTGAGGTTCGGGGGCGGTCAAGCTGCGGACCTGACCTGGACCCCCCAGCGGCTGGCCCCTCCCTCGGCCGCTGCGATGGCTGTGAGGACAGGAGGAGGGTAGTGAGGCCTGATGGCATCAAGGGCGTCTCTAACCACCCCGCCCAGAAACCACATCATCAGTCACTGCACCGTTTGCCTCAGTCCTTACTTATAAACACCTAACAGTGGATTTTGGCGATCTAAGTCCATTTTCTTATGCACATTTTCATATTTTTCCTTATGTGACCTACGTGGTTAGTAACTTTATGTCCAGGCACAAATCACGAATATTTTAGAATAAACATGTCTATAGAAGAGGAAGAAGATTGGATGTCTGTTGTCCATGAACACATTGCTACTTCACAGTGACAATTCCAAGCCACACCTTGTTTTCACCCTGGAATTCATACAAGTAGATACTGTTGTTTCAAAATGCCCTGCAAAGGAAGGAGGGGGTCATTCTGACACCAGATGCCCCCCATCCCGGAGGGAGTGGGTGAAAGGTGTCAATGCACCAGGCCCACGAGCGCTCAGGGTCGGAAGCACAGAGCCTCATGTGCGATGGAAGAGCAGGGACCCCGCACTCAGGATCTGGGACTGGACGAGGGGACGAGCCGAGGCTCTGCACCTGCACGAGGGTCACAAGACTCGAGGGCGAGCAGCCCCAATTTTCCAAAAGTGAGAAAAAAGGTCTTTGCAAAACGAGAAATGCTACAGAGCGCCAGGCCTTCCTGTTCACTGCTGGTTCAGAGTGCGTGACCCCACGACCTCATGCACTTACACGCCAAAGTGCAGTCGTTGGAAGAGAAGCTGCTGCATCACTTTTCTTGCTTCGGCCGCCAGCCTTTGAGATTCGCGATGCAGTGAAAGGACCACATGGCGTGGAGGACAGTGATGACAGGAGGACACACAGAGAAAAGAGAGTATAATCTTTTCTTTGAAACACACAGTTTGGTTTTCCAGTTCCTACTCCACTGACAAATATATTGGGTGATTAGATTTGAGGACAAAAGCACAAAGAGGAAGTCATCTTCGTTTCTAGAATGCAAGCTCAGAAGATCAGGATCGGTCTCTGCGGTGTTCACTGCTGCATCCCGGGGCTCGGGGCGTGGCAGGCGTTCAACAATATTCGTGGAATGAACAGCTAATAGCAAGCTGTCTGATACGCTAATCCATTTTCTAATAATAATAAAGAGCATCTCTGTGTTCACATTGCAGCGAGAAGGTGACTTCCTCTTTATATCTTTGTTTCCAAAATCTTTGTGTCTGTTGTATAAAGTCCCTCATGAAGGCAGGGATGGTTATCTGGTTTGTAAACTGCTGAATCTCCAGCACCTAGTGGGGTGCCTAGAATACAGGAGGCATTGCACACGTTTGTTGAATGAATTATTGAGTGTATCTTGCAGAGGGAAACATGATGTTGGATGAAAATGTGAACCTCTAATCTAGGCCTGCTCCCTGGTGCCATCCCACATGGAGCTGGATTTGCTTGCTGGCCTGGAGAACCCTGTATTTTGCAGGGTGTCTGCTGGTTCTGCTCGTGCGCCTTCCTCTGCTCTGGGTACAGGGATCTGTCTGCCCCGCCTGGGCCCCTGCACTGTGTCCAAGCCTGGCCTGGCCGCCTGCTGCGGCGTTCTCACGACTGGTCAGGCCGGAGCCGGAGCCCACTTGGCCAGCACGTGCCGTGGGCGAGTACCTCACAGAGTGGGGGCATTAGGGGAACTCTGAGATTCCTGAGATTTCTCCTCGCTCTTCCCTCGGGTGTCACATCCTGAGCCCCTCAGTGCCTCTCCCCCGGCCCGTCTGCACTGGTCTGAGATTCATCCTGACCCTCCCAGCCCTCCCCTGTCCCACGTCTCTTCCACGACAGTTTCTCAGGGTCTAAGGGGTGACTGACTCATCTCGGGACCACAGCACAGAACTCGAGAGAGAACACTGAGCTGGTCGCAAGGAGACCTCATTTCTGGAGAGAGCTCTGCCTCCAGTCGGCTCTGTGAGCTCGGGCCCCTCGGTCCACCCGGGCTTCACTTTCTCGGGTGTGAAATGTGAGGTTTTGTCTAGGTCAGTGTTTGTCTAAGTGCTGTAACACTGATCCAAGGACACGTCCTTCAAAAGTATCTTCTGGGGTCACGTTCATTTGGGAATTGTTGTGCATTTTGTCACCTTCTTGAATATTAGCAAGTTAAAGGTTCTGACAAGTCCTGAAATAAAGGAACGATTTCTCTTTACCTGATATTTACTTTTTTGGGGAGGGTAGCATGCTGGGGTTTCCTAACTCCACGAGGGAGTCCCTCGTTGAACCTTCTGAGGTCTTGGCTGCAACTGCACATCCGTTATCTCCACTGCCAGCTGCTGTGGGTGTAGACATAAGTGGGTCAGGATCTTGTCCTTTCAGGCATAAAAAATCAAATAGGGCAGAGACAAACACCAGTGAGCAGAGGATGACAACTGGAGACTAAGGTTTGCTCCAATTACAGTGGGCCGAGGACTGAGGAACCCAAGGTCTGCCCGGCATGGGCCCATTGGCCGAGCACAGAGGGGCGTTGGCAGTAACTCACCGGGTGGAGGAGCTTGGAAGGGATAGTCCCGGCAGGAGGAACAGAGGGCACAGAGGCCCAGAATCCCAAGGTGAGCTCTAGGCCTGCGAACTGATTCTGTGGTTACAGAGCCCGGGAGTGGGGAGAGCCGAGGGAGAAAGCTCTAAAAGATGAGTAACAGCCTGCTCGCCACGCATGTGAAGTGCCGTTCTGAGGAGTCTGAGATGTACCCTGTAGGTGACAGGAAACCACCCTTAGATTGGGTTTTAATCAGTGGGATTACATGACCAATAAGTATTTTACAAAGAGAATCATGGAACAAAGAGAACATTCTGGAATGTTAAGGTAGAAAGAAGGAGGAAGAGAGGGCAGAAAACAAATTACGACTCTGCTGAAATGTTCATATGAGGGGATGAAATGCTGAACAATGGCAGAGCCAGGGCCGCGATGGAGGGGAGGCAGAGGCCCACGGACCGGGAGGCGGCTAGATGGGAGGCTAGATGGGAGGCAGGAAAGACAGCGACGCAGCTGGGCAGGTGCTGGGACCACCCGGCGATGGGGGCGGGAATTCAGAGCAGGGGACAGCTCTGCACAGATTTTGAACTGGACTGAGGTCAAAGAGCTCCCTTTCATGGGCGGGAAGTAGAGAGCAGCGTGCCCCCAGTTGCTGTCATGGAGCAGCCTCTCCTCCCTGACCCGGCAGGGCTTGCCTTCACCCGGGACGACCGCCTTCTGTTAGCGCCAGAAGCAGACTGTGCCATCTACGGCCACTGAGCTAGGACCACTGCTCATTGTGAACTTTCTGTCTGAGAGGATGGGCATCCAGAAACCGAGCTGGAGGAGAGCAGCTGCTGGTGGACGTAAGTCATCAGAGAAGCGAAGGGAGGGGCGGGGTCCGCCTGGGAAAGAGCCGAGCAGCTGAAACGGCCGCCCTGCAACATGAACACAGCAGGGGCAGGCAGGGGGTGACTCCGGAGAATTTTTTTCCTTTTGCATTGGAAAGAAATAAAGATAAAACCTGAATGGTCTTATGATGGGCAGGGTGGCCTCTCCCTCCGCACTTCCCCCAACTTCCCTGCATTTCGGGCAGCTCCGTGGAGCTGTTTGGAAATAAATGTAGACGCTGTGGGAGGCAGGTGCGTGTAATGTTTGTTCCTCCTGCTCTGGGGTTGAGGGTGGAAGGTTGCTGTGTCTGAGCCTTCAGACTTCCTGATTTCTAAATGCGTTTTATTATTGCATCTAGAAGAAATTTTCCATTCTTGAGGAAATGCAATGCAAACATGAGTTGGAGACACGATGTCCATTTATCTCAGAGCAAAACAACCCTGTTTCCCGTTGTGGAAACGGAGGGCAGGGAAGGCGGGCTGTGGTTTCTGAAATCAGCAGCCTCCTATCTCTGTGCCATTCTCTGCCAGGGCCAGCGCCACCCCTTAACTTGATATCTGTTTACTTTAGAGGAGGTAGTTTTGAGAAACGTCATAAATATCCTGGCCGGGTGCCCCAGGAGCCACGACAAGCAGAACACGCCTGCCCAGAGATAGCCGTTGTGATATTTGAATGTGCAGGTTAATTTTTTATCCAATTTAGTAACCGGATTGTTTTACTCTTCTGTTTCTTTGCTTTCTTTTCCGCTCTGAAGCTGCAGGCACAGAAATCTCCGCAGACAAATTACTCCGTAGCACATTGCCGGACAGGCCTGTGCAGCTAAATTCACAGCATCTGGAGCCTGACCCACTTCCGACATGGCAGGTGTGAGTGGCTGCATAAAATATTCTATGTTTATCTTCAACTTCTTGTTCTGGGTAAGTGTTTTTCTTTTAACTATCAATTTTATGCAAGAAAGGGGATCTTGACATAAATACCATAAATGAGAACAGACTCCGCACCGGAGAAACAGGAGAAGGAGGGAAACGTAGTTCCCGTTTACTAGTTTGGGTTTGTTTGTTCTTTCTTTGGTTATTTCAGTAATTGAAAATGAGCCAATGACTCAAAAAAGTGCCCTTCAGGATCTGTGAGGATAAACATTTCATAAATGTTTCAATATTGTTGCAGAACAATCACAGAGGAAAACGCACCCCTTAATTAAAGGACAGTTATTGTTGGTTGTACTTCCAGTCCCTGTGGGGAAAATTCCGTCTGAGCCCCTGGGAGCCCAGCCCTGACTCCTAGTTACATCTGGGTTGAAACAGGTGAACGGTGCACGGTGGGCGTCAGACAATGGACAGGAGAATGGGATCATTTTTAGAGGCAAAGAGGAAACAGTGGGTAGTAAAAAACTTGAGAGGGAAGCAATAAAATTATTTAATCATGAAAAGACTAAACTAAACCACTAAATTGTATCAGGAATTTACAGTAGCATTTTAATGTGTCATCACCCACCTTTTCATCAACAGGATTTGTGTTTTAGCAAGTCCTTATGTTTCTCTTGAAAGTCTGTTGACATAAGACATAGCAAATAAATTAAGTAGCATCTAATGTTGGAAAATGAAGAAATAAGACATGGAAAGGCAGCAAGGTGAAGGCAGGCTGGGACGCTGGGACATTGGCATCATCATTTAGTGTGCATGGTGCAATTAAAGGCTGTTCAGAGTAAAACAGAAGAGATAGCTCAAAGTGCTTAAATGAAAGAAACATTTTGTATTCTGATTTTAAAACGGCTTGTCCAGCATAAGCAGCAGAGAGCTCTGTTCTGTTTTTCACCTGTTTACCTTCAGTGAACAGGCAGCTGGGGTCTATATGTTGTTAAGTTTCTGTGCTGTTAAAACAATGATGCACCTGATTAAACGTAACTTATTGCCTAGAGTGACTTTCCATTCGATGTCAGAGCCCTAATGAGCACAGATGAGATCTTGGTGACGTAAATAAGTGAGTGAGCATATAAATAAATTAAATTAAATAATGACATTTTCTTCTTTGTACTTCCTCTTTTCCCTAGAAAAATGGGCTGCTTTTGCAAATATTAAATGAAACTCATGAATATATGCCAGTTTTTTAAAGGTAGTCCTGAGAAATTTCTTCCTTTGAAATATTTAAAACTGGTTAACCCTTGAGAGTAGAATATAAACAAAGAAATACTTGTGTACTGTGCATGGTTTTGTCTTTAGGTTTTTACTCTGGAGAGCCTCAAAAATTGACAAAAGAGGACAGGGGGTCACCCCACGCCCCAGCCCCAATGGCCATGAACCATCCCTGTTCATACTCTCACCCACTGTCCCCACGCCATATTATTTTGAAGCAAATCCCAGACATATCAGTCATCTGTAAAAATTTTAGTACGTATCTCTAAAAGACAAATAATTCTTTAAAAACTGTAACCACAATGTCATTATCTACACTAAAAACTTGGTAAGAACTTCTTAATTCATTATCAAATGTCCATCCAAGGTTCAGATTTCCAACTGCCTCGTAGGTGTTCCTGTTTGAATCAGAATCCAAGGGAGGGTCACGCCTTGTGGCTGGTGATTGGTCTTTAAGTCAATTTTCACCCTTGGGTTCTCCCTCCATCTTTGTCTCGTTTTCCCCTTGAAATTTCATGTTCTGGTGTGTATGTTGTCTCCTGGCATCCCCATGATCTGGATTTTGCTATTTGCATACCCATGGGGCCTTCCAACAAGTCCCCATCCTCTGTCTGATGTCTAACTTAGTAGCTGCATCTGGAGGCTTGCTATTTTGGGGCATACAACTACATTGTGAGAGATACTGTGTCTTTCATCAGGAGGCAGGTGGTGTCTGACCATGTCACTTTTTATGGTGTTAGTAGCCACTGATGCTCAGGAACCTAATCCACTAGTTTATTAAGAGTTTCAAATTGGTGATATCCTATTTCTATCATTTTTTTTTCATTTATTGGCTGGAATACTTTCAATAAGGAGAAATTTCTCCTTTGCTGATTGGTTAGCAGTGGTCTACCGTTTTTATTTAAAAAGGCAGCATAAATGCTTCTACTCTTTACTTAGCAGATTTCAGAATGATGAGTTAATTTTCTGGTCCTGTACAATGGTGGTAAGCAGGTATTTCTTTAAGAGCCTTTATAAAGTGATAGACTTAAGGGCCATCACAGGTCTCGTCCTCACTGACGTGCACTGTATTCTGTCTTTGGCCAGCGGGAGCATCTTCAGGTTGGCTCCTGAGCTTTTGGACATGATCCTAGTGACTTTGGTGACTTCTTCACTATTTGGTATGACAAGATGTTCCAGGCTCACTTCCTCATTTCTTGCCGCAGACCCAGAATCAGCCATTTCTCCAAGAAGCCCTGACACCTGTTTTTAAAAAACTACAACCATTGTCTTTTTGTGATACAGAATATATAGGGTCCATTTAAACAAACCAGAATATGAATATGCTGACAAACTCATGGCTTCTATTTTAGCAAGATGTCCCAAACTGGTAGCAATCCTCAAATCATGGAACAGTTTGGAAAATATGTCTCTGTTGTTAAAAACAGCACACGAAGTGCTGGTGGCTGCTGTGGGTGCATCAGAGGTCAGAGTCTCATTAAATAGCTAATAAGGAATTTGGAATAGGTCTGAATTTTAAACCAAAATGACAAAGACAGTCTAAGAGAGGGTATGTTACAGGCGCAGGATTATGTATTTAAAATCAGCTCGAGGTGAGTTGTATCGAAGGGCACCACGCCACACCCAGGCGTCGCCACTGCTGTCCTGGGAGCTCTGATTACTTTATGGTTCCCATTATCTCTGTTTTTTGAGAATGAAGGCAAAGTCTTTCTGATGCTGTAGACTTCAGGTCTGTATTTCTAACTTCCCGGGGTAAAGGCCTTGTTCCTCCATCGGCCTCTCGGGGGGACCTACATTCTCTCCATGAGGCATCTTGAAATGGAGTCCCTGAGGGACGGTGACATTTGTAAAGACCAGGGATAAATTCTCAGCCAACAGGTGACAGACACATTTCCATGAAAATCTAAACAGCAGGAGAAGTCTCTGAGGTGAGGGGATGGTTCCCATTTCTTCTTTCCCCTCCACCCCCAACCCAGAGTTCTCAGAATTTTACTATCAGTCATAGGAAATTAGCGATTTGTCACATTCCTAATGTTTACCTAAGCGAAATTTTAACGGTTCCACTGATGTGGTTTTCTTGTAGATATCTGTGGCCTCATGTTTTCAAATGCATTCTTTCTGGTGTAACTTGCAAAACTAAGCCTTTGCAAAGCAGGGCCAGATGCTGAAATATGTCTAAGACGTGCAAGCGCATGGTCATTGAGCTAAACATACCAGCTCCTTTTGTGAGAGAACTTGAGATATGCCGCATAAATGTCCACTGATTTCCACTCGTTAGAATTAGTGATTGAAGAAAACCTGTGGAAGTGAAAGTCATTCCTGACCACTCAGGCTAGAGGCGGAGTGACCGAGAGGGCCCGCAGGTAACAGGCGAATTGCAGCCCGAACCTGTTTCTCTCAGTCTCGTGTCGGAACAGACGAGCCGCCTGGTTCTCTCTTGCTCCTCCTGGACAGCTCAGGCTTGGGAGCAGTGTAGACACTCGGGGTGTCTCAGGGTCCGGGAGCGTGGACGCTTGGTCTGTGGTTGCAGTGGAACCGCTGCCAGAGGGAGAGAGCTATGCAAAGCCCAGCTCTCAGGAAGAGCAGAGGGAGGAACACCCCCAGGCCCCAAAGGGTGGGGGTGAGAAGGAGCCAAGTGCATGAGCAGCTGACGGAAGCGACGCACGATGTCGTCTGAAGAGAACAGGAGGCCGGAGCTCGGGGTGTCAGGGGCCCGTGCCCGTGTTCAGCATTGTGTTCTCCGCAGCGCCTGGGCCTCTGTTGGCTGTGCTGAGAGCGGAGGCAGAGCAGACGGAGCTAGAGATAGGGGCACATTGAAAAATAGGGCACAACTCTGTTTCATTCTGTCAGCTGATGAACCCCAAGACAAACCCTCAAAAATGGCTGCAATGTGTGAACTTTGTCAATACAGTGGTTGCCTGCCGCTCTGCTCTCAGCGTGGAACTGTGATGACGAGACGCTCCGGAGCCCCGTGGGGGAGCCCTCAGGCTGAGCCTCGGCTCCTTCGTTGCCAGCTGTGTGATCTCGGGGAAATCAGTTAACCTCTCTGTACTTTAGTGTCCCTCAGGATAGTGGTAGGGTCTGCCTCATAGGTTTGTTGTGAAGATTAAATGTTAATACATATAAAGAAATCAGAATAATGCTGAATAAATGTTTAACTGGTATTTTAGTCAACACTGCATAGGCATTTTTATGAGACAAAGACATGAAACTGCTCTGCATGGTGCTGACCACACCCCCGTGTTACATTGTGGAACAGAGGAGGAAGGAAGACAGACAGAATTACGATGAGGCAGAACTTCTTCTATGATGAGTCAGGAGAATGAAAAGAAAATGGATTGAGATTCAGATCCCGAATCCACCTGTATTGCTCTGTGACCTAGAACCTGTTCCTTGACTTCTCTGTGCCCCAGTGTCTGCATTTGTTAGATGAGGTCGATACTTCAGCTGGAAGGATGAATCATGAAGATTGACTGGGGTGCTTTGCGAAAGTCTGTAATGAGGACCGACACACAGTAATAATTCAGCTAATGCTATTTTCCCCAGTTCCAACCAGCATGTTGCTCTTTAATTTAAGAGCATTGGAAGCTGATGTGATAGCATTAGGGATTTATTAACACCACTCTGATCTTCCTCTGGCTCCTTGGGGTTAGAGGGGTGTTCCCACCCTGAGCCTGGCCTCCACTTTGGGCATATGGGACCCCAAACTTCCCTGCCCAGAGGGCCCCAGCCTGCTCCCAGGGCTGCACAGGCCCTTGTCTGGGTGTGGTCCAGGGGCGCTGTGC